TTTTTTAATTATTTATAGTTTTTAGCCATCTTGGAGAGAATTGTGTTTTTTCTTTTTTATTGTGAGCTACCCAGAGTCACCCCTGGGGGAGATGGGCAGCATACAAGCCAAACAAACAAACAAACAAACAAATAAATAAATGGGTCTGCAAGTGGTTAACTGCAAGCATTTGCTGATGGGAACCTTTACATGTCTAGTAGAGGGCTCCCACTGTAATTCAGATACAGGTTGGATGCTTTGTTAAATGGGCTTGCTTTGCACATGTGTAAGGAATATTAAAATAGTTACATCCAGAGCAGAGAAATATACAGAAATGGAAGGATGTCCCTGGATGATGGATTACTTTTCTTGTAAAATGTTTTAAAGCACTAATGGAAAAATTCCATGAGCAGAAGTTACTTCCTGCTTCATGAAAGGCACCTTCGAATCCAAGCCACTACAGAGACTCTGTGGTCCTTGGGTTAAATTTCATATCTACCAAGTCTACAGATTATACTGAATTCATGCACAATCAGAAACTTTTCAAAAGTGGTTATGCTTATACTATGATTCAACCAGATGCACTTTCCTTTACTTAACTCTTCCAATGGCATACTCTTATCAATGTTTTTTTTATACACAAATTTTGGAGAGGAATTTGCAAAGCTCTATCAATGACCCCATTGTCATATATTCACTTCCATAAAACTAGGTTTAAAAAGATGATTAATATATTTGTAATTAATAATTTTTTAAGTTCTCTTACTGTTGTCAGATATGATATACAGAAAATCTTCCAAATGTGTGACCCATTAAGCCTAGTACATCCTTCCAAGTCAGCTATGGCAGCTTTTTGAGACTTCCCATCTTTGCTGTCTCTCTAGGAAGCCTTTCCTAATAACTAAACTTCTGCTCCCCTAGCATATCACAATGGGGAACACTGTGTGAGGATGTAAAATTCTAGAAAGGAGATGGTGATGACCACAAGACAATAGGCTTCAGGCTATGACTGGTGAGCTGCCTTGGGTCAGTGGTTGATAAGTTGTGCTTACCTAATCCATTGAAGAAGAGGGAGGAGGAGGAGGAGGAGGCATAATATTGGATGCAAACCCAGATCCATCAAAGTTAAGAAGCATTTTGCCATGAACTTCAGTCAGGAATAAAACTAATTAAGAGTTGCCATTTCCAATCCAATAAAAATGTTGGAAAAGCACAGTGTAAATGGTTGGATCATGAATATACTCAATGATTCTGGATTTCTACATCAAAATTTCATTTCAGCAACACACGTGGTCTGTCAGTTAATCTTTTAGAATTATTTTTATAACATAGCAAAAACAACTGAATACATACCAAGCTTGAATATATCAATTCTACCCTTTCCTGGCAAAATATAAAGATAATTAACAACCATATTTTAATTGCTTTGCCTCTCAATCACAAATAGCTTCCAAAATATCAAGATGACACTTAAATTCTAAACATGGTCTTCTGCCATGATTGCATGATGACGACCAATCTAGAAAGATGGATCCACAGGTAGATGGATCCACAGGTAGATGCAAGCAGCCAAAGTATCAATGTTGTGTCATGGATGTGACCAACTGAAGCTGTCCTTTGATGCAGACGAGAATATGGACTGCATAGAGCTGCAGTTGAATGAAGCCTCTGTGGTTTTTCCATTTAATTTTCATAAGAACCATTGTAAGATAAGTGAAGTTGAAACATTGTGCATCCTCTCTGTTTAGTAAAATTGGATCCTACCTATATCCCAGCAGACTAGGACATAGTCAAGATCTGACTTAGAGGAGATGCCAATTTTCACAGAGTTGAAGATGATATAAATAAGGGGTCCCTGGTCCTGATACATCCACATCATTCCACTTTCACTTCTGGTAGGCAGGAGAAACTGATGATGATTGTGGGAAACAAAACTGCAGCAATGTGCTTGTTCAGTAAAGTATTTCAAATGTCTATTAAATTGCTTTCAGTGCTCTAAAACTATTTTTAGTGGTTTATTAGTTTCTGACAACTCTGTTGATTATGCACACTAAGTGGTCCAAGATCACTCAAGGAGATCCATGAAAAAGGAGCAATTTGAATCTAGATAGCCCTGCATCCAATAAAATTACTCTGTGACCTTCAGCACTGGAGTGAATCCAGGATTTATTGACATATGATCAAGGATTTGATTTGATCTGATCTAGCAATTTACCTGTCTATGATCAGTATATTTTTCTAGTTTATTATAATTACAGTTCTCAAAAGAAAAAAGTACTAACTTCATTACACACTAATCAAGCAATATTCTTAATGAGAATTTGGTTCCTTCAAATCTTTTTCCGAAAAGAACTTCTAAGGACAATGCATATGAACTGGTAAGTCCGGCGAGGATATGGTGAACTAGACATCCCTAAAGGAGCAGAGATGACATTACGGTGGAGATCGGTGACCAAAGGGCAGATCCTGGCTGGTGAAATCTCTCCGGAGAAAGGAGAGATCGTGGAATTACCCACATGTACTCTGGACAGCTGCTCCACATGAGTAGACTGCAGGAACTGAGGTTTTTGCAGTCAGCTTGTGAGTCGAGTGGTTGGGAGTTGAGGAATTCCAACTAAGCTCACAGTGGAAATGTAGCCTATATGGACATAAGGTTTGGCCAAGCCACATTTCTTAATCACATTTGGAATTACTTTTTTGCTGCTTTTTAAATATTAAGAACCTTCAGAATGGCAAGGTTTATGGCATTCACTGGGTGAGTTTCCTTCAATCCTTAGTGAAATAAATTTTAAGTATGAGTTTAAGGACTTAGAAAAAAATTTTTTTTTAATAAACAGCAGAGTACAGTGTTGATTTCAGAAAGTTATAAACGGACTAAGGGTCCAGATGGATTTAAAATAAGACTTTGAAATTAATTATATGACACCTTCCTGTGGGAAACGGATGTTCTGATTTTTTTTAAAAAAATAAAACATGATAAGATGGGACTTTGAAGGTTGGTCACTAGAGGGAACCAGAAGGAAATAAAGATTACAATTAAAGGAGAAGAACAGTTAAATTCGACTTGCTAAAGCAGAATGGCGCAAAATACTTTAACACTGGATGTATTGAAAGATATTTGTGAACAATGAACTCAGAAGTTAATTTTAAGAATGTTTGCCATTATAGATAAATGATGTGTCTAAATGATGTTATGGAAAAGGAACAAGTTCTACCAGACAAGACTAAAACTGATTCTTTATTATATTCTTATTTTTTCTTATTCTTTCTATTTTTCTTTCTATTCCTTTTTCTTTTCTTTTCTTCACTTTCTATTTTTTATTCTTTTATTTGTTTTAGTTTGTATTAGCTTTTATCTTTTTAACTGTAACATTTAATACAATCGTTATTTAAAAAAAGCATGTGAACTAGTAAACTATACCATCGAGCAAGGTGCCAAAATGGATAACTTGCAAATATTCTTTCTCCCGCATAAACCCTTTCAGTGGAGTGGCCCAACCTTCACTTAGGACTTGAACCCACTGTAGATCCAACTGAAAAATAAAAACAGTATAGCATATGACAATCTGCAGATAAAAATAAGGAATGCCTGTTTTCAGCAATTCAGTACAACAGTCGTTTGCTAATACTTTTCTTATTAGGTATCAGAGTATTCCCAATTAGGATTACTTAGGTAAAATCAGCAATACTTCCTTCCAAAAAGAGCATGGATATAATGTACCCACCACTTCTGAAAGTTACTGAAAGTTACTGAAAGTTCACAAGAAAATATTTAAAAAAAAAAAAAAGTGAAGGAAGTCTCAGTCCTAATGTATTGGGGGATAAATTGTTCTAAATCGCAAATAGTTCAGGTGCTGAAATCCTTGTCATGTTCTTATCCTTTTAATCTCAGTAACACTGTGAGAATCTTGCTTAGAATAATTTCTTTGTTTGAGCCAGTTGCCAAGAGCCTGACAAGGGATGTAAAAGAACTCTGCAATAATTTGGCATTTTACTTCCAGCAGACTTGAAGGCTGGCAGGACCAAAGTATATCTTCCTCTTAATACACACACACACACACACACACACACACACACACACACTTCACTTTTAAGATGTACAAAGGGAAAGGAATCTTGTATATTTATTTTCTTCTAAAAATGCCTTGCATAGTCTTATTACATTGTTTTGACACATCTCAAAAACCAACCCTCAGCCCTTCCTTACACCATTCTGCCCATTTTATCTGGATATTTAATTATTAAAAAAAAAAAAGCAAAAAATGAAAATGGCTTCCCACTGGAAAAGGCCAATAAAGAGAGTAGATTTCCCTTGCTCTGCGCATCCTTAGTACTTTGCAGGCAGCAAATATGACAGTTTTTTTTTTAGATCTAAGAACACACAGGACAAGGTCTTCTTTGCTGTTTGTTTAGTTAATTAAGCAGTTAGTTTTCCTGTACCAGAATCACACTTTAGCTTATCTCTTACCTTGGTAATGTTTACAGAAGGCAAAGTACCAGCTTTAGCCCAAGTTTGTTCTACTTTATTTTCAGGCACAAACAGTTCAAGAACATCTTTTATTGAAGATGAAGGAACAATGCTCTAGTAGAAGAAGAAAAAGTAAGAGATAAAATCCCCTTGTGAAAGATGGATTAGTTAACATGGACCTGGAAAAATGAAAACCCCATTTTTCTAGAGTAGGTTTCATTACTGAAAGCCAGCACAGCATACCTGTTCTTGCAAGAGCTCTACAATGGTCTGAATGCATTCAGTCACTGAAAAAATGTTGGTTTTCAGCACAAGTTCAGGCACTTCTGGTTTCTCATACCCTGAATCAATTCCAGTGAATCCTAGAATGGTTGAATATTTATTTTTGTAAGACAATGAGGTTATGGTCAAAGATCAAATAGTACATCTAGAAGAACAGTGGCTTTTCTATCTTCTGTATCAACTGCTTTCCAAGTCTCATCACATACTTCCCAATAATTTTTTTCTAGCTAACATGGACTTACAGCCAAAGAATCCCCTGTTGGAGCCTCTCTTCTCACCTACTTGCTCAGTTACTTAGCCATTACCCAACCCTATCAGAACTTCAAGTCAAATGACATGAAGAGTACAACAAACTAGAGTTTGCAGAGTTCTGATGCACTAGGGCATTTGTAGATCGTAAAGCTTGTGTTTAGGGGTAGGGGTATAAAGTAAGGAGATTATGTAGACAATATGTACTGCAGTCAGGATAAGATGATCAAACCTTTGATTTCTCCAGCTCGTGCTTTTTTGTACAGGCCTTTCACATCCCTGCTCTCACAGATGTTGAGAGGTGCATCCACAAAAACTTCAAAGAAAGGAAGCCCAGCTATCTCATGAATCTTCCGTGCATTCTCACGGTCCTGTAAAAAGGAACAAAACAACCATCAGTAATGCTGTTATCTTAATACTCTTCTTCTTCTTTTCTGTTCCATGAAGATATCTCCACAAACACAGAAAGAAATAGATCCCAGGATGCTCAAAGTGTTCTGTTTTTCTGTTTCTGTCACTCTCTCACACACACATACACAGTCACAAGCATACAGATTTGCCCATATTTGTTGACCAAATAGATAAAGGTAGGGTTGCAGGCCTTAAGAGTCTTCTTCTCTCACACACATTCCAGCAATTTATTCCAATTCTACTGATGCTTTTTTTTTTTAAACTGGCTTGAGCCAGAGAGTAAGGAAGGAATGCTGAGCAGAAGGACATTAAGTAAGAAAGCATCAAATTCCAGCAAGTAGGATTTTGGTTGATTGACTAGGATCAAGCTAAATGTAGCAGATGAAGTCCAGTGTTTCTTGCGGGGGGGGGGTGGGGGGGTGGCGGCTTCCTGTTGAAGAAAGCTGGGTTTGATATTAGAAAGAAATGCTCACAAGGATGTTACATCCCCAAAGAGAAGAACAGTCTTTCTAAAGATACAAATGGATTCTTTCTTGTGGATAACAATACTGAAGATTTATTTATAACCGACAGTGGATGTTCCACAAGGAGGTGGCTCTTTTAAATGCTTATCCTACAACAAAGAGTCTTTTTTTTTAAAGTACAGAATAACTTTCTAGACAGATTTACCTTTGCAAAAGGAGAAATGAAACTAGTAATGCAAACTAAGCCAGCGTCAGCAAATAATTTGGCAACTTCAGCAATACGGCGGATGTTTTCTTCTCGGTCATCAGCAGAGAAACCTAGATTCTTGTTAAGACCATGACGAATGTTGTCACCGTCAAGTGAGTAGCAAGGGATGCCATGAGACACAAGATATTCCTCAAGTGCAAACCCAATGGTTGTCTTACCAGCACCAGAAAGACCTGATAATCATAGGTAAAATAAATTAAAAAAAAAAAAGCTGTGATGGTTCACCCATACTTTTCCTCAAATTCATAAATATGCCATAAAATAAAATTTCAAAATACACAGAACTTATTTAATTAACTTTTTTATTCTTTGCAGCCAAATTATCTAACTAATCAAAAACAATGGGGCATAAACATCTCTCGCCATGTAGGAGGCTCAGTTGCTAAAAAGGTTTGCAGAGATGTTCACTCCACAATCTACAATCCATGTTGTTTAGCAATTAAGCTTCTGTGGTTTTCTTTGTGTTTTCACTGCAGACAGAGCAAAGAATGCTGCTTAAGGAAGAGTAGGTGAGCCTAAGAAGAAATGGAGGGTTTAAATATTCAGATCCTTAGCTGCCCATGTTAAATCAGATTTGCAGATCTTCCTTCTTTTTCTGAGTTAGTTCAAAATTAATACTGAACAATGGTTTACTGCTTCAAAATCAAATTGTAGAATTTTAGATTTGACTTGTATGTTTTCCCACCCTTGTTCTTTCTTCACCCACCCAAGGAAAAGACTGGAAAGTTCTATTTGGTTTGTGAATAAACCCATTTCCCATTATGTCTGAAATTAGGAAATGGTGTTTTTTACCACATCTAAATAGCACAAACCAACATCAACTTTTATCTTCAAATCTTGGTTTGTTAACAAAATTCAAAGTGATTGATTTCAGTGTTGCAATCATCCTCTTTTTTAAAAAGAAGATTCTTTCAATTTCCTCTTCTTTTGTTCACAGAAGGAAAAAGAAGAAAGGAGCACAGAAGCTTGAGGGTCAGGCCAGGGAATTCTCAGAGGGAGTCAAAAAAGCCAAGATGGTAGCCACAATCATGAAATCAAAGCCCCACCCATTGCATCATGTTCCACATAAAAAGGGGTGGGGCTTTGTTTGGATGGTTGTGGCTACCATCTTGACTTTTGTTTACCCTCCACTTGTGGACAGTCTTAGGCTCACTGCAATTCATTCTTGTATTAATAATTTAGTGCGGACCAAATCCAAGAGATTATGTTAGTGAAGGAAAGTTAGGGCTCTGTATTTCACTTTCCAAAGCTGACCAAACTGCTAACTGAAAGCCTTTCTCCTCTGCTGAAGTGCTTTCCACCCACACCTGAAGTGGCAGCAAGCTAAACCAGCATAGCATCTCCTGTCCCCATTGCTGATCCCTCTTGCTTCTCTTTCAAGTCCTTGCAGGTCACATCACTATCATTCACATCATGAGTGACAAAACCTAGACAATTTTACCCACCTGGAGACCCCCCATGGATGAAGTTGGAATGAGGAGGAAAGTGCTAATTTGACACTAAGGAAGGCTTAAGTCATTCCACTCATTTGCTGGGGATGAAATGAAAGCTATATCTTGGGGACACAGCAGGAAAAAGATGGGACCAGAGCTGTTCATGCCATAGTTAGCTGACCATGAGGAAAAGCAACTTATCTTCTTTTGGGACCTTATTTCAGTCCAGCCAACAGCCCTGGGATTTCTTAGTGATCTCTTATCCAAATATTATCCAGCTTCAGCCTGGCTTAGTTTCCAGGGATCAGTCATATTTGGGTCCCTGATGCTGACCTGCTGTGACATCCTCTCTAGTGACAATGCTCAAGTCAACAATGCTCCAAAATACTATACAATGAAGGATAAAATTATCCTTAGCTATGTTAATTTTCTTTTCTTAACAAGTCACCATGAACAACAAATGTTGTTCTGGATAGAAACATTCAATACAAATGTTTAAAGGGTTTGTAATTCGCCTAAGATTACAGGCATGAGTGCACATATGCACACTCCTAGTTTTCTCATCTTGTTTACCTCATTGGATTAGATCCAGATGACTCCAACTCTTTTAGCCTTTGGTAAGGTATTTAAAGACCTGGATGTTCCTCAGCCATTTCAGCCATTAGGCAACCTCTTCTCATTCGTGTTGGTTTTTTTTATGAGTTGCACTGTGCTATGACCTTAGACATTATGGTTGATGTTAAAATGTTGTTCTGAACCCTTGTACACCATTCAGAGTCATTTTTGTGAGATGGGTGGCCACAGAAATGTTTTAAATGAATAAATGGCGAAGGAACTTTTTCCCTCTCTTCCTCTGGCATTACGCTAAACATTTTCATTGTATGTTACTCAACAAGTGGTCCTTATAATCCATAGTCTGATGACAGCTTGTTTTAGTAGAGTACAGTTGCAACTAACCACAGCTTGTTTAGATCTGAATCTAGGACTAAATTGTGGTCTCTTAAAATGGAAACAATTTTCTTCTTGCAAGCCTGGCAGAGCTAATGAAGTATGATGGCTTTAAAACTGTAATCCATATCAGCTTATCATTATATAAGTTATTTAATGTATTTCTATAGTGGGCTCAATGTTTTTATAAAATTAATATGGTTGACCTTTTGAGATTATGATATTATTACAGGGTTAGATTTTTTTTGGTGGGGGGGGAGATACTTTTAATGTTCACTTTGGTCCTGAAATTTGATTAAATACCTTTCTGAGATCCCTTTATAGCTACACTTTCGATAAAATAAATAAATGACACATGTACACACCCATTAAAGCTTTCAAAACATTTTATACCCCCCAGAAGTGCAATACAAGTCATGGCAGTGCATATTTTAAAGCATGTTAAGCATGTCCTTCGCTTGTTCATGCAGAATGGAACAATTAATAAAATTCATCACATAATTACACATGATGCACATTATGTTAATGAGTCCATATATTGGGAGTTACTAGGTTATGCATTTATGAACTTTGTATCTTCTTAAAGCTTCCAGATCCAGAAAGTTCTATTTTTTGCTGCCCACTAGTGGTCATCTGGATTTCTGCTGGTCAGTTCTGGCAGTCTTACTTTTTCTGATGTAACAGGAATAATAAGAGTTTTCCCCAGGTCTTAATTTGCTGAGCTATTAAGAAACACAATACCTGTGAGCCATACTGTGCAGCCACGAAATCCACCTTTTGTGCCCAAAACCTGTCCTCTCTTGTTTCTGCTAACGTGATGGGCTTGGTACACCACATTTGTAGACCTATGGAGGTTCTGAGAATATAAACAACATAAAAAACATTATTGTTGGTTTAATAGCAAAATAAAAGAGTAGACTCCAGTGTGAATGCATAACAAAGCAGTAGCCACAAGAAAAGTACATTACAGTATTCAAAGGAGCCTTACACAAACATACACCTATATATCCAAACATGCACTCACAAGTTCCTCATGTCTTTGGCTTCAGAAGTGTTTGCCTAAGGAAGACACTACTTTTCTTTAGGGTAAGGATTTCACTTGTCCTGAGTTAGCAGTAAAGGGACAGAGGACACCTTGAATAAAGGAACAAAATGTTACACAGCACACCCAAAAGCTCATATCACAACTCGGGGCCACTAGCTTAGCATAATTTATAGTTCTCTGTGCCTGCAGTGTCAACAATCGGGGGAGAATTTATGTAGAAATAAGGACTTTGGATGAGTTGCAGGAATTTGATCAATTGAATGACCACAGTTGAACATTGGTAAACTCCATGCAAAGGGACATAAGAGAGTTCAGCAAGCTATATTTTATCATGATTGCCTGTAGATTTTATGGTTTATATCAAAAAACACCTAATCAATGTCCCTTAGTTCCACTTCTAAATTTTGCAACAATTACTCTAAGTCAGCATTTCTTGTAGCTAAAGTTATAGAAATTTCCTTGATCAACAGATATCTTCATACAGGTTGAAACTTGATATGGGGGCCAGGGTGCTTGCTTATGAATATATCATTCATGAATATATCATTCATAAGTAATGGGTGACCTAACAAATTTCCTCTTCACTGGAACAATTGCATTGGTATATCTCCTTCCCGCCAATTCTCCACCTGGAGAACATTTGTGGTGAAGCAGGACAATTGTTTGGTGCCATTTCATCACAAATGACGATGAAGTGATGTGAATTTTCCATGATATATATAAAATAATATACAGGTGGTCCTCATTTAATGACCACTTTTTCAGCGACCATTCAAACTTATGGTGGTGCTGAATGAGTGGTAGTCACAACAGGTCCTCATACTTACATTGGTCACAGCATTCCTGTAGTCACATGATTGCCATTTGCAACCTTCTTTGCCGGCTTCCTATAAGCAAAGTCAATGGGGAAGCCGAAAGGATGTCAGAAATGACCACGTGCAGTCCTCATTTAACAACCCGCAGTCATTTGCTTAATGATGCCACCCAGGACTGCTGGAATTTCCATCACTAAGCGGCACAGTCATGTGACACTGTGCTTTACGACCAGGTCACTTAGCAACAGAAACTCCAGTTCAAATTGCCATCATTAACCAAGGACTACCTGTACATGAACTTTGTAAATAAGCTTACAAACCTAATATTTATATTTATTTATTTATATGTCAAATTTGTCACCACCCATCTCATTGAAACGACTCTGGGCGGTTTACAAAACAGCTAAAATCAGTTAAAATTAGCATATACAATACTCTTAATAAATAGAAAATAAATAAATCCAAGAATAGATATAAAATTGGCAGTCACTCAGGGAGCGCCATCAGGGCGCCAGCCACTCCCAGGATTGGGTAAGAATGCTATCACCCCACGCAAGCTGGCAGAGCCAGGTCGTTGACCCTTTCAAGACCAGGAGGGTAGGGGCCTGCCACACCTCTGGGGGGAGAATATTCCAAAGGGTGGGGGCAATGGCAGAGAAGGCTCTCTCCTGGGCCCCGCCAGCCGACATTCTCTCAGGAGTAATGTTGGCTGTGTTTTAGATGTTGTTTCATATCTGAATTCCCAAGTATATTTGGAGAGTCTAAAACCACATAAAAATGCTAACCTATCCATTAAAAACAAATACAAAAACGTATATGCAAAATATGCAAAACACGTTACTATTTACTGGTCTGTTAAGGGCTAGTTAAAGAGGCATGTTGGCTATGGAGGAACAAACACCCACTGCACCTCCTTCTCCATCAACCTGACCACTCACTTATGTGAAATTCAAAGTTGCTATGGTTACCAGGAGAGTACTTAAAAGATGCGGTTGCATATTCTATCTACGGGCTCTGCAAATTCTTCAAAAGACCTGCTCTGAAATGTGCAGGAGCACATAGGAAGCACCTGTTTCAAAAGGATTTGCAGAACTGTTATTGGTCTACAACCTGCTTAGATATCATCCATTCATCCATCTCAAGGCTGCAATTCTAAACGCGCTGAGTTGCATTTCTAGGCCCACTGTTTTCTTCTGCAAGGTTGGAAGGGTGCTTTTCTCTTGATGAGGAAAATGCAACCATAACTTCCCCTCCCACTTCCCTCCCAGAACCTCTGCTGCAGGCTGTTTTGGACATCCTGATTTCCAGTAAGTTTTTAATATTCTGAAAAGGGAGTGGAAAAGTAGGGAAGGAATGGGGTACAAAAAGTTATAGAACCAAAGTCAGCCCTCGCCATCACCATCAGCTTCCTCCTGTCAAAAGACAAAGTACGTAGCAATGGAAGGAAAAATCTTTTTTTTTTTTTTTTTAAGGCAAAAACGGCTGGTGGAGACACAGGAAAGTTTCTTTATCCTTGCTCTATTTCTACTTTGGCCTCATGCTTTTACAGCACTTGGGATTGTTCTTTTTCTTATTGGTTAGTAAACCTCGCTGCATATAGTTGAACTGTCATTGGTACAATTCTGCATAGGATTATAGTGTTAAAGGTATCATTCTTACCTAATAACAATCATGTAATTATAAATATAATTATAAATACAATTCTTACAGCTACGCTGGAAGGTAGGTCAGTATCCCATACTGAAGGATACAAAGAGAAAATATGGCTGTTCTAGCCATATGGAGGTCTATCAGTGAAGACAAGATTGAGCAGAGATTTTCCACCTCTCCTCTTTCCCCAGGACTCCAAACTTTATCAGTTTGGAACCTACATCCAGTTCTTATCCTCTCCTAATTGCTCAAGCAGCTTGTCCTGAAAGATTGCACTGTTGCTTAAGATAACGTGACACTGCGTGCTACTGGAACCCTTGGCTTGCAGAAATTCCATGAGTCCAGAATCCCTTTTGACCTGTTCTTTGTTCATGTTTAGCTGAATCATTCTTAAAGAGACAGAACCCCTTAGTGACTGCATTTTAAGCACTATGAATGCCTACTCCTAATTCATTCCTCCCCCAAAATTTCTTGGAATCAATCGCCGTCAAGGATGCCAAGAATCACAATGCTGTGAAAGTTTTTGTATTTGTTTTTGTTTTTAAAGGATAGGTTAACATTTTTGTGTGGTTTTAGGCTCTCCCTATATACTTGGGAAGTCAGATATGAAACAACATCTAGAGCACAGCCAACATTATTCCTGAGTAAGAGTTCTATAATAAAATTGTAAGTATGAATCTTATTATGATTCTACTGGAACCTTAAAACAAAAAAAATAATAATAATTGCTCTACCAGTGGAGAAATGCTTCTGAAAACTGACAGAAAACTGGCTTTAGCTATTTATAATCAAAAACTAGCTTTATATTATTCCCATAATATAAAGTAAAAGTTGTTATGCAAGCATCTGATTGTGAAATATCCAGATGTATATTGTGGCCTTGAGGCTTTTTAATGGCACATCTGTATCCCAGATGAAAGTGTTTCGATGAAACATGTGTGAGGGTTACAAATCCCAGATTTCTCAATCAGTATAGCCAAAGGCTAGTGTAGAGTTTGGGGAATTATAGTCCCAACACATCTGGAGAGAATGAGGTTGGGGAAGCCTGATAGGACATTCTGCGTCAGAGCAGAACATGGAACAAGATGTTCTGCATGAACCTTCCTGACTCTCCGTTTTCCCAAATGAGCAGCACATATTTGAATACAGTGTAGAATTGAGAGTAGGCTACTCTGCCATCTCTCCTATTCCACAGGGCCTCTTTGTCATCCACAGAAAGTGAGAAGCCTCTGCAGAAACCCTCATGGATTCCGTGGTTTCAGCTATGATTACAGATTCCTGCCAAATCAGCCAGGATTTCATTCAGTGTACTTTGAGCAAACAGTGGGGAAACTCTTCTACTCACTGGTATGAATCTTAGCACTTTCCTCTTATTAATGTTGGCACCATTACACCAGACTTTCCTTCTACAAACATGGAACATAGAATGTCTCATAAGAAAATCAACCCAACCGTTATCCTTAAATAAGCAGTGATTGAGCATAAACTAGACTGATATTTCATTTTGTATCTGCTAGCTGAACAAAACTGTACTTTTTAATAAACTTATTTGTCAACCGATCAATATGTGAAATGCAGCAAAGTTCACTTTAATATTCTTAGACCTCTTCATCTATGAAACTAGAAAAGTTCTTTACTAAGAATTACAACCAAGAACATTTAAATGTTTATCTTAACTGCATTCATACTGATCAAAATAATTATATTATGGTCATTTCTGCACTAGTATCTTATAACAGCTTCATAATGTCACCTGGCCAACACTGAAACGGCACAAACCATTTCTACATTACTATTATTTTGGCACAATGATGGTTGGAAAACTTGAGAAGACACAAATTGCTAATGCAAGACAACCTATAATGAAAGAGGTCGCCACAAGGAACAAAGGAGCAGCAGATTTGTGGAAAAACAGGTATTAATTTCCTAATGGAAGAAGAAGTTTGACAACAGAACCAGCTACCAAGACAGAGAGAATAGCTCTTCTTTGCTAAATGCTTGAAATGCCATTCCTCACCTGAGCAGAGGGTTGGATTGTGTAGCCTAAGACCCCATTTCAATACTATTATTTTAATATTGGTTTGCTTAGAGCAGTCTGCTCTGCTCTCCAATTAATTTGTGAATACAGTGCCCAGAACTGTAAGCTAGGAATTCTGAGAATTACAGTCCCAACTCACAGGAGAATTCCATGTTGGAAAGGGCTGGCTTAGAGTGAAACAAAAGATGAGGAAATCGCGATTTCAGTAGTGTTACATGATGTGCTATGTTCTATGGATTATCCTGCCCATTTTTACAATTAGCTTGCGATTATGTATCAGTATTTTATAGCAGTAATATAAATTTTTG